CGTGACCTTGCGGGTCTCGCAGGATCTCCCGTATCGCAACGCTCGCTTCGCGAAGGGAATTCTCGCGTAGCATCGCGCAATCGGTCATTAGCCGCCTGTAATTTACGCGAATTCGCGGAATATCTTATTCTCGCATTAACGAGGTGCAATAACGCTCGGCGTGCTGACAACTCGTGTCTCGCGCGGTATCTCTCGTGCAACGCTAGCTTCGCAACGGGAATACGCGTGCGAACTTCGTTCGTCATAGCTCGGGCCGCAGCCGTTAATCGCCTTAAAATCGAATCCGCGCTAGCCGCGGTAATTAGTCGCCATTTGATTGATTTAATCGTAACCGAAATATTCGGTCGAATATCCGAGTATTCCGGGCCAGCGATACTTTCGCGCATAGAGACAACGGCCGTGGCCTTCGATTACGGGCCGGTCTCGCGCGCGTTGTTTTTCTGTATAGTCTCGAGCATCGCTCGTGTTTACGTCGTTGCGAGGTTCGTACAGCCCGACCCAGCACTTGTATTATCCCGACATTCGTGCTCCGTCCGAGAGTACCATCGCTCGAAAATATTATTGTCATCGATCGAGAATATTTGCCTTTCGAACTCTGCGACGCGTGTTTATCGCGCTAATCCAACGGCTGATATTCTCCGCGTCCAACTCGAGGAATATTATCGAGAATATTCCCTCGGGACTTGCGCGAGCGCCGAACAGAGCCGTCCGTTACCCCTCACCCTGGCGACCTGACTTTCGTGATTGTTTTCGCCGGGTTTCGATATTGTTGGTTCGAGTTGCCGTCGCCTCCGACTGCCTATTCGTCGTTTACCCTTCGCTCTTAGCTTCGTCTGTCTGTGGTGGACGACCCCCTTGTTACATCATGTCGAAAAACGCATATGCTCGTCGCGAAGTATGCAATCGGCGTATGCAAGAAATACACGACCTCTCACTACAAGCCGCGACCGACGCGGCAATACGAGCGACCTTCCTCGCTCGCTACTCGAGCGTAGCGAAGATCGCGGACGACTTTGAGGCCTCCCACCTGAAGGTCATACAAGAAGCGGCGGATTTCGAGGTCGAGGACGGAATCCGAGCCAGTTTCGACAAGATGCATTACGCCGTAAAGAGTCGATATCACCGTGAAACGGGCGCGCCATTCGCAGGCGCGCCGGCACAGCCCTCGGGTCCGGCCTCGGTGGTCAAGTTACCCAAGATCCCGCTGCCGCAGTTTTCCGGCGACCTTACGTTGTGGCCTTCCTTCATCGCGTTGTTCAACGCGGCGATACATAACCAGCAGATTTCCGCGATAGAAAAATACCAGTATCTGCTGGCTTCACTCAAAGGGGAACCACTCAACGTGGTGAAAAACCTGCCGTTTTCCGATGAGTACTATCTGATCGCTTACGACTCGCTGGTCGATCGTTACCGGAATAAGAGAAGGTTAGCGGACCATCACTTGAATTCGATAATCGAGGCAAAGCCATTGAAGGCGGAGACGGCCGAGGCTCTTCACCACTTATTAGATACGTTTACCGAGAACACGCGCGCGCTCGCATTGATGAAGTTCCCCACCGATTCATGGGACTTTATCCTACTGAAGTTTTTGTTAGACAAGCTTCCTCGTTCCCTTCGGGAAAAATTCGAGTCGGCTCACCGGGCTGAGGAGATACCGCGATATACACAACTCACGAAATTTCTAGCGGAGCATTGTCAGGTTCTCGAGGCCGTCGCGGGCCCGTCCTCCAAACCCAAGTCCACACCGGTCTCTTCGTTCGTGACTAACGCGGCCGGTTGCCCCGTTTGTAAGGAGTCTCACTACGTGTCGAAGTGCTCCCAGTTTTTAAAACTCTCGCCGAGGGAGAGGCAGGCTAAGGCTCGCGACTTGAGATTGTGCCTCAACTGCCTGCGCTCGGGGCATGGCATGAAAGACTGTCCGTCCGCGTGGGCATGTCGGTCCTGCGGCACGAAGCATCATACGCTTCTGCATTACGAGCAGAGCTCGAATACTACTCCTAAGCTCGAACCCATTAGCGCGACTCCTGCCGAACCGGACGCCGTTCCCGCTCCTCAGTCGGAGGATGCGCCGATCGTAACAATGACTAGCCGGGCCAATAGAATCGTCCTCCTGTCCACCGTACGAGCCGAGGCGGTAGACGCGCGTGGCAATGCGTTCCCCGTACGCATATTGCTGGACAGCGCGAGTCAGGCCAACTTTATTACCGAGGGCTGCCTCCGGAAGGGCGGCTTTCGTCGCACCAAACACAGTGCAACCGTGTTGGCGATAAACGAAACCAGGGCGGCCACGACGAGGGGCCTCACCTCCCTCGTGATCCGCGCGCGCGGTCGCGACGACACTCGGTTCTCGATAGAGGCTACGGTCCTCTCGCGCATAACCTCGCCGCTGCCTAGTGACAAGGTGGAGGTCCAGCCGTGGAAACACTTGAAGGGATTGCCGCTCGCGGATCCCGAATATTTCGTGCCCGGCGGTGTTGACATCCTCCTGGGGGCGGACTCGTTTGTGTCGGTGCTACGGGAGGGCCGTCGTAAGGGGGAGAGGGGAGAACCCGACGCCTTCAATTCAGTCTTCGGATGGGTTCTGACGGGCGCGGTATCCCCATCAGTCCAAGCAGCGCCCCTGAGGTCATTCGCGACTACGCTCGAGTCGATCGCGACATCGGTGGGTCGCTTTTGGCAATTGGAGGAGGTGCCGGAGGACACTTCTTGTTCGGACGAGGATCGACGCTGCAAGGAAATCTTCGCCAAGACCACGTATCGTGACCTCTCGGGTCGTTTCGTGGTCACGTACCCGTTCGCGTCGGATCCTCCTACATTCGTCGGCTCGCGCTCCATTGCGGTTAGTCGTCTCCGCGCCCTGGAACGTCGATTTAAATCTGATCCGGAGTTCCGAGCGGGTTACAATAGTTTTATGCGGGACTATCTCGATAGCGGACACATGGAGGTAATTCGCAATCCATTCCCGTCGGATGGCCACATTTATTATCTACCGCACCACGGTGTGTATAAACTCGATAGCACTACCACTAAGTTGCGGGTAGTGTTCAACGCGTCCTCGCGAGGCGCTGTATGTGGATGACGTTGTGACAAGCGTTCGGACGGTGGAACAGGCTCGCGCACTCCGCGACCAATTGCTGTCGCTTCTCCGAAGCGCCGGCTTCGAACTTCGAAAGTGGTCGAGCAGCCATCCTGCCGCGCTGGAGGGCCTCGACCCGCAGTTATGTAGCCAATCGATGTTAGATTTCGAGTCAAGCGAGGATCAATCTCAGAAGATATTGGGCCTTCGGTGGCACTCACAATCTGACAGTTTCGGGTTTCAAGTCAACGCGTTGGATCGTGAGTGCACCAAACGCACTATACTGTCGGAAGTAGCGCGCATATTTGACCCCCTGGGTTTTCTGGCCCCACTCACCTTTACGGCGAAGTGCTTAATTCAGCGTCTGTGGACCCTCAAGTTGGATTGGGATGATGAGCCTCCGATGGACATTCGTCGCAGCTGGAGTCGTTTCCAGACGGAGCTCGGCGTGTTATCTTCCCTTCGCGTTCCTCGCGCGTTTAACTCGTGCCATGTAGATCGCTGCGAACTCCACGGGTTCTGCGATGCCAGCGAGCTGGGGTACGGAGCCGTGATTTATCTGCGAATCGTTACGCGTGACGGCGTCGGGGTCCGATTACTGTGCGCCAAGTCTAAGGTCGCCCCGCTTCGCCCCCTCACCATTCCCCGTCTGGAGCTCTGCGCGGCTCTGCTCTTGTCTAAATTAATCGCGTACGTCCGGCGCACCCTCCGCGGACACCTTGACATTGACGACGAGTATGCTTGGACGGATTCCGAGGTCGCCCGGGCCTGGATCCGCTCCGCACCACAACGGTGGAAGACCTTCGTTAGAAATCGCGTTGCCCTCATTCAGGACAACGTGCCGGCATCAGCTTGGGGTCACGTCGACACGGAGTCCAATCCGGCGGATCACTGCTCCCGAGGGCTTTATCCTCGCGATCTGGTGGCCTGTTCGATGTGGTGGGCAGGCCCTGAGTGGCTTGTTCACTTCGAACCCCGAGTTGAGCCGTCCCACGATTCGGAAACCCCTCCGATCGAGGAGGAGAAACTCGTATCGCTCGTGGCGCTCGAGCCGCCTGACGCGGTACATTCCTTGCTCGAAAGATTCTCATCAATCGAGAAAATTGGCCGAATTATAGCATACATTCTCAGGTTTGTACATCACTCCCGTGCAAAATCTGCTCCTACGACTTTGGCCATAGATCAGCTCGAACTGCATTCCGCGTTACTACTCGTTGTGAAGAGTGTACAGGCGGATGCTTTCCGCGATGAGATCGATCGTCTTCAAAGCGGGAGAAGGCTCCCCAAGCCCTTTCGCAAACTCGCTCCCTTCCTTGATCCGGTGGGTATTCTCAGGGTGGGCGGCAGGCTTGCAAAATCCGGATTGACATTCGAGAACAAGCACCCTGCCTTACTGCCCTGTAAACATAGACTCACAGATCTCGTTATCGAACACGTGCACCGCACGAACATGCACCCTGGTCGGCGCACGCTGCAATACCTGCTCACGCAACATTATTGGGTCCTCGGGGTGCATCGCGCTATACAACGCGTACTCTCGAGATGTCATCAATGTTTCCGCGTAAAGCCACACGCCTCTCAGCCCCTCATGGCGGAACTACCGGCCGATAGGGTCCGACAGGCCAAGCCCTTTTCGATCAGCGGCGTGGATTTCGCGGGACCGTTCAACATAGTCACGCGACGAGCCCGGGGGGTCTCCTCCGTCAAAGTGTACGCGTGCCTTTTTGTATGCTTTTCGGTTAAGGCGGTGCACCTGGAAGCCGCCTTCTTGTTGTCCACCGACTCCTTCCTCGCTGCGCTGCGACGCTTTGTGGCCCGACGCGGACGCTGCTCGCTTCTCTACAGCGACTGCGGAACGAATTTTGTAGGGGCCGCACGGGAACTAGAAAGCCGCATGGGCCTCGCAGCGGAGCGAGAGAAGATCAAGTGGTCCTTTAATCCTCCCTCCGCGCCCCACTTCGGGGGCCTCTGGGAGGCGGGAGTCAAGACCTTTAAAACCCACCTGCGGCGGACCGTGGGTGATCAAGTCCTCTCAATAGAGGAATTCACGACGGTCCTCGCGCAGGTCGAGGCCGTCCTGAATTCCAGACCCCTCTGCCCGATGAGCACCGACCCTGCCGACCTCGAAGTTCTATCGCCGGGTCACTTCCTCACGATGGAACCGCTCGTCTCCGTTCCCACTCAAGACGTGACCCCGTTACCGATGAATCGGCTGAGTCGGTGGCAACTCGTCCAACGAATACACCAAGACTTTTGGAGGCGCTGGCATCAGGAGTATCTCCATACGCTGCAACAGCGTCCCAAATGGTGGACCTCAGTCAACCCGCTCGGGGTCGGTGCGTTAGTCCTCCTCAAGGACGCCAACATGCCTCCTCTGCGTTGGAGGCGAGGACGAGTGGAGGCGCTGCATCCGGGCAGCGACGGCGTCCCGCGCGTCGCCACGGTGCGGGTGGCGGACGGCACTATCACGCGCCCCCTAGTGAAGCTGTGCCCCCTACCGATGGGCCCTGCTCCACAGGCGACCGATTCAAATTGAAAATAAAATACAACTCGTTGTATTTTGGTGGGCGGTATGTTTGACGCTCACCAAACTGTAGTTAGATGCATGTATTGTTTAGTCTCGTTACTCGTTGTACATAATATTCTTGCGTACCTAGTCTTAAGTATTT